GAAATCAATCGTATTTACTGATTCAACTTTATGAATATCTATGACTTCAACAAACACTATTCCAGCAAATACTACTCCAACAAACGCTGCAACAGATATTACTCCAGCAAACACTACTCCGGCAGACACCACACCAACAAACGCTACCTCAGCAAACACCACTCAGGCGAAAAATATTCCAGCAAAAAATGCAGATAAAAAGCCCAACGTTACGGATCAGAGTGAAGATGGTATAGGCGATGAAGTTGTCGACAACCAGATTATTCAGGACTTATACGGCAAAGAGCATCTTAACCTTGTATTCATCGGCCATGTAGGTTAGTATTTATGCAACTATTTTTAGGGACATATTTTAATTTACATGACATCAATAGAAACAGTATTAGAAACGGACGGATGTTGCTATATTAAGGCACGGTATTCTCAAATCTGAAAGAAGTGAAATAAGAATATCTAACCTCGGTATTAACTTGAATTTTAACTCACTCTTTATAATTGTTACTTTTTTCCAATTAGATGCCGGAAAGTCTACTATGGGCGGAAATATTTTGTGAGTAATTTAGTAAAATTGTCAGTATTAAATTCATTATTTATTAATCCTTTTTTAGATATTTGACAGGAATGGTTGATCAAAGAACTATGGAAAAATATGAAAAAGAAGCAAAGGAACAAAATCGAGAGTCTTGGTATTTATCATGGGCTCTTGATACTTCAAAGGAGGAGAGAGCAAAGGTGAATTATAATTATATATTCTATATTGTTGAATTCTAAAAATTAGTTATAAGGGCCTAATGATCTATATATTCATTTGTCGTTATCATCTACAGGGGAAAACCGTTGAATGTGGTCGTGCATATTTTGAAACAGAAAGGAGGCGTTACACAATTCTAGATGCACCTGGGCACAAAAACTATGTACCTAGTATGATTGGTGGCGCAGCGCAAGCGGATGTCGGAATTATGGTATGTGATTTCAAAGTGCTTCAGATAAAATCTGGCTTGAGGTCATATTTTAAAACCAAATATATCATATTTCTCATGTATCTTTAGGTCATATCCGCAAGAAAAGGTGAATTTGAAACTGGATTTGAAAGAGGTGGCCAGACACGTGAACATGCTGTTCTTGCAAAAACTTCTGGAGTTAACAAGCTAGTAGTAGTCATCAACAAAATGGATGATCATACAGTTAATTGGTCTAAGGAGAGGTAGTTTGATGATGATAAAACACAGTAGTCAACAATTTTTATATAGAATATATCTAATTTTTTTAATACATCCAACGTAGATATGATGAATGTGTTACTAAGCTTACACCATTTTTAAAGTCAAGTGGATATAATCCCACGACAGGTATATAACGTATTTAAAAATTTTCATCAGGAACATTATAACTGATATATATATATATCTATACAGATATTGAATTTATGCCAGTGTCTGCATACACGGGGGCGAATCTTAAAGACCATGTGTCTAAAGAGGTGTGCAATTGGTATAGGTAAGAACATTACTGGGGTTGAGGATTATATTAACAAAAAATGTTATTTGACATTGTTTCGTTACTTGTTTAGTGGGCCATCATTGCTAGAATATTTGGATAATATGAAAGCTTTGGATAGAAACTTAAATGCACCATTAATGATGCCAATTACTGAGAAATATAAAGTAAATTTTATGAAAAATTAATTGTTGAGTTCAACTTTTGAATGTAGTATTTATATAGTTTGTATTATAAAGGATATGGGCACAATCGTCGTTGGTAAGGTGGAATCAGGCACTGTGAAGAAAGGTCAATCTGTAATGATAATGCCAAACAAGGTACACGCTTGCCTATATTATTGGATAACGTTGATTTGTTGATTTAATAATTACGGTCTCATACAATTGATTTCACCAGCGAACTGTTGAAGTATCCGCTGTTTATAATGAAGTTGAGGAAGAAGTGTCTGTTGGTACTTGTGGTGACAATATTCGGCTTCGTGTGCGTGGTATTGAAGAGGAAGAAATTTCAACCGGATTTGTAGTTTGTTCGACTAAGCGACCGGTAAAGACTACAACCGTGTTTGAAGCACAACTTGCTATCCTGGAACATAAAAACATTATTTGTGCTGGGTATAGTGCAGTTCTTCATATTCATTCTTGTTTAGAGGAGATATCAATCGCGGTGAGATTAAAATGAAATGCGCTTTTATATTTGATTTGCTGTGGCGAAAGACCTTTCATCGTTTACATTGAGTGACATTTTACACTTGCAGGGACTTTTACATCTTATTGACAAAAAGACCGGAAAAAAGTCAAAGAGGCCTCCGCAATATGTTAAAAAAGGTCAAAAAGTTATTGCAAGGCTCGAAACTCAAGGTCCAATTTGCGTTGAAGTATTTGAAGAACACCCACAATTAGGAAGATTTACTCTTCGAGACGAAGGTTCATTTCTCTACTATATTATTATTTTTTTTGCTTTATTTATAATTTTATTAATATCGATCAATTAATGCTTTCGTTAATTAGGAAAAACAATTGCCATCGGTAAAGTTACCAAAGTCATTGAAAACGAATAATGGTAGAATTCAATTTGATCATGTACAAACATGTGCTTTACAAATAAAATATCGTGAATTATTACAATTAATTATTTGTAAATAAAATTATTTATTAATCGTAATTTATTTGTTGATTGCCTTTTACTAATCTTTATTTATGCAAGACAGATATCATTAAGCAAAATATAAGGTCAAAATTAAGAAATGTATTAACATAAATTTATATAAAGTTATGTAATCTTTTGCTATGATTTCTAATTTTATTTTTTGACTAATAGCACTAGAAGTAGATTTAAAGTAGTATATATAGTATCACTAGGGTTAGCATAACTTATAGCTATAATTTATGATTAGAAGTACGTAATGTAATCCATGGTAATACAGTGTCACTGAGGTAAATACCTAACTAACTTTTTGGATATAATTGAAATGTTCTGAATAGATATATAAAACAAGTTTCATTTTTTACTACGTAATTAGAAAGGGAATCTGCTATATGGTGCGCCATGCGTTTTTGTGCATCTTTTTTTTTTTTTACAAAAATTTTAAAAATGCTACGTAGAAATAAATATGAACGCTATATATACAGGTTTTCCCTTTTTGTCACTCATATATTGTGGCTCAATTTATTACGTACACGTAACCACGTTTATTTGATTATCCTGATTAAGCTAAGCGATCAACGCTTTTTCGGATATATTTTTTTCTATCGCTACCAACTGTAAATTAAAAGTTTTAGTAATTTTGAGAATTGAGACCAGACATTTATATAAAAAATATAAATTTTAAATGATTATATACAAGGCACTCTCGTTATAATGAAATCTCGATATAATGATTAACTAAAAAATTTTTATTAATTGAACCAATTGTTTCACTATAATGAGAGTAACTTGTATTAAAGTATATAACAATAATAAGCATAATACATTAATACATATTTAAGTAAAATATTATACGTTATAAAATATGTAGCTACAACGAATTTATGAAGCTTATAGAAAATCAATGCTATATTTGTTATGTAATTGACTTGCTTTTCAATATTAGTATTGTCAAGTTTTTTTTTACAACTTCTAACGTTATAACCAGTCTCATAACAATATATACAAGTAATAATTCTAGATTTTGAACTTGTTGATAATTACTGAGTTGTTTTAATATTACTAAAAACTTTGTACTTATTCTGTAAACATTTTTTCTTTTTTTTTTAAATATTAATAGTAAAACAGTAAACATTTTTTTTAATGTTTTGTAATAAGATTTTTACTACTAATTTTAAAGTTTTTATACTTTTTTAGTTTTATTTTTATTTTGTTTTTATTTTTATTAAATAACTAGCTGTGAACCTGTTGTTACACAACGAAGAAAAAAATAGTATTAAATACAATTATAAAAACCTATACAATTAGTATTTAATTAAACTTTATTAAATTGAATATA